CCCACATAAAAGTTTCGCACAAGTTCACATAAAAGCTTCAGAAAACGACAAGTCGTTATCAAATGTCGCCAAGTAGGTCTTCCGGATTCCAAAAGACCTAGTTTATCTTATATTGTTGAATATGTTCAGGAAAGATACATTTTACCTTGTACTTAAGGGTAAAGATACGGTAAACTGAATTAATATGCATTGGGAAATGCAGATGATTAATTGCTCACATGTGAAGAAAAAACAGAGAATTCAAGTATCACCCAGGAAAGCTAAACAGAAGAACAAAATGTCTGTTTTAGAATGGCGTTAAGCTGCTGTGTGGATAGCATAGCCAGTTTCTTAAAAGATTCCAAAACAGTCCTCAAACTCTACATTAAGATAGATTATTGATGACAAATACGCTATATAAATGTAAATGTATTTGAGGTGTACCTAAGATAAGTGTTGAGTATAAAAAATTATATCGTATCAAATTACTTATGTTTTTCATGAAATAGAAATGCATTTTTGTTTACATTTTAAGAAAAAATATACGAATGTTCTACATTATAATGGAATGCTTTTATGCGTCTGCTACTACCAGCAGAACTAATGCTTTAATGTTTTGTTGCCCGAAAAATAGTTTCCTTAATTAGTGATATTTTTCATTTACGCGAGCCGCAATTCAAAATTAATATATATTTATACAGCGAATTCAAAATTAATATGTATTTATACAGCGAATTCAAAATTAATATATATTTATACAAAATTAATATATATTTTATATTAATATATTACGTATAATTATTGTATATTTATACAGCGTAAAATGCATGTAATAATATTCACTATTCTTTAGAAAGACAATATGCATCTATACATTTGTAGGACCATACAGCTAAATTATTATTTCAGTTTCAAAGTACGTTATGTGTTCTGCATGTCAGTTTGCATTTTATAGTTAATGGTATTTTTATGCAAATGAACTTTGAGGTGACTCATTTTTATGTTAAATATTAATAATTAAATTAAATTATCCACGAAGGATTTTTGTACTCTGGTTTCGATTTATTGTCATTCGCAATTTTCATCATTACATAGTAGTTAACATACTCAAGAATAAAAATATATTCATGAAAAACTAAATATTTCCATAAATTTAAAATTGCTTGTAACTTAAATTACTTGCAAAAAATGAAAATTTCAAAAGAGAAATGAACTTTTGACACCTGACGAATCATAATCATCAATCATGAAGAATATATTTATGTTCACCGTCTGAATATTTTATCATCAGTGTAACTAACAGACTGAGAAAAACGGAAGAAAACAAGCCTTCATTGCCTAACTATTATTAATTTGTCAGCCTATTCAAAGAGATTATAGAAAAGTTATTTAAATTTCCATATCCATTTGACGAAATTATGCGTTAGTATTCTGTAACAGTCGTTAACTTTCTTTCTCACAGCAATAAGTACAAAGACGAAAGTCAAGTTTCGTAATCAGCATAGTCAGTAAAGTAATCTGCCGAAAGTACATCCTTTCAGGGGGCAGCTTTATCTACTTCAGGCACTTCAAGAAAGCTAGCTGTCTCGGCTGAAAGAGCATGGAATTCTTTCCCCACTACTTCTCTAGTTAAGTACCAGGCGCAAGATTCTGTCTATATAATAATAATAGAAAAAAAAAAATTAAAAAAATTAAAAAAAAAATCATTGCAATTAAAGGTTTTCAAACTTGTGGAGAAGCAAACACTCGATTGCATAGGTTTAAAAAAAAAAAAAAAAATATCGGGTCTCCTATAAATTTTTGAAAATGAATTTTCTATAACCAAAGATATCAATTTGAATTATTTTTTAATTTCCATAATGAGTTATAAACAAAGCTCTGACGACACTTGTAACAATTTTATTCAGATCTAAGTGGTTCCAGTGCTTATGTAATCAGTAGTAAATGCATTTGCTTAGTTCCTGTCTTATTTTTAATACTCCTAGCTATGGAAAATACTTTGAATTTTGTTACCTAATTAGATAAAAAGTATTAAACAAGAGCCATAAATAGGGATTTGGTGTCTAACGCAAAGCATTAAATAGTCTAAAAAATATCCAGTATATAATAATTATATACTGGATAATTAGTATAACTTACTATACTAATTGATACTTAAATCCATATTCATAATTATATGACCCTTTTGAGAAAGGACTGGAATAAAACCAAGATATTACTGTCCTGATATTACTATTTCCGTTTTGATACACAAAAATTGCTCACATTGCAAATGATTTTAAATTTGCTTCTAAACTTAATTTTTCGAAAAGGAGCGAAGAATTCAAATAGTATTAGAATTATATTTAATAATATTACCCGAAACAGTACTGCTAAACTACTACTAGTACAAATATTTTAGCAATACAATCTTTATTAGCAAGTCTGCCAAAGTAAGGTGAAGCCAAGAATAATTGTGAAATTTTTAAATGAGAACTAACAAATATATACCTCAGTATTTTTAGAAACAAATACTCATTAAAACTATATGAAGCTGCGAAAGATTTAATCAGATTATGCAACTATAATCTGAATTTGACGCTTCTTTTTATTCTTTATCGCTCGCTGAAAATGCTAGGCATTTAACTTTTCGCATTATTTCTCATATATTATTATTATCATCATCATCATCATCATCATTATTATTATTGAATGTTTTTAGCATGTTTTAAAGCATTTTGTTCCTCTTAGTATGTTTTTAAACTTTTATTTAAAATTCTATGTGGTTTTATATTTTATTTGTATGCTTTTAATTCCATCTATGTTTGTGTTGTGGGTTTCTACAGACTCGTGAATAAATAATATTGTACAGAAGACTAAACTGCTAGACGCAATAACGTTAAAAAACACATCGTCCTTGACTGAAAGAAGTCTAATGATAGTTTCGTGGCACTTCCGTAATTTGCTTTGAAATGGGTCCCATTAAAAATTTTGTGGAAAGAAATTTCTTAACATAGGCGTTAGCAATTATTTAAACTTTCTGAATTTAAAATAGGGCACAATAAGGACAAATATGTCTTATTGGTGAACCGTCGAGAGTCCATCTCTTATTGGCTACCTGTACCACGCCTTTCAAAAGTAAAGCGCTGGATTGGTTAAATTACTTAGCTCAGCTGATGCGCAAAAGAAAAAAATTTAATTAGTTATTTTCGTTATTATTAATGAAGAATTACAGTAAGATCGTTTAGCGTCGTCTTGCATAGTCATTTATGTTGTAATATAAGCAATTTATTCAAATAAAAATGGCGTCAGTTTTGTTAATTCATGATACTTAAAAAATGGAGCAGATTTTAATTGCTTGCAAATTTGTTGTTTTTTGCGTTACAAAAATACATCATACATCATTTGAAGGGAAAAGAAAAAATATGTTTCCTTGTTTATTTACTAATTTAGTATGTTATTTAAAAGTAAAGTTCCTAATCGATGGATCAGCTGAAGTGCGTAAAGAATTCTGAACTATACATTTAACACTGTATGTTATCAATATCTGATCCTTTTTCTTTTGGATTTTGGTTTTCTACTCTGGGGATTTATCGGAACGAGCATTAAACTTCAGCAACGAAATGTTGGAACGTGGTATTCCACGTGATTAGAAAGCATGTGGCATGGTATCGACAAAGCTTTTTGGAATGTTGATTCAAGCTGGGTGTACATATAGATTGTCCGACTTATAAAGCTTTCAGCTTTCCCTATCAGATGATTAAAGACTAATTTTTTACTCTACGAAATAATTAGTTTACAAGCAAGTAAATTATGCCGCTTCTTTTTAAAATACTTAATATGCTTAAGGTAATACAGATATTTTGCTTGTGACCATATTTTCCATTAAATGTAAGAAAGTTTATGAATCATAGCCTTCTTAATAGCAAATGAGATCATAATTTTTAAATGGGTGCAATATTTTTAATCGATAATCAAAGGAATGAAAAGTGTTAATTGCAAAAGACAGTAATTGCAGTAATTGTGTGACAGCATTCCAACCATAATCTACACAAACATTTCTTTAAAATATTTTATTGAGAAAGAATTTTCGTTTCTATACTGTTTAAAAGTTTACAGTAAATTATTCTAGATACTGTATTATGCATAGAAATTAACTGTTATGCTTTGAAAATGTATATTGTTTCAATATCTTCAATTTCTGTTTGGGAAGAGACGCAGCTTTCTTACATTTAAATACATTGCGATATCAATCAAAAAGCTAGCTCTTGATTGATATTTTTCCTAATCCTTTTGATATTTTTCCTTATCCTTTTGATATTTTTCCTTATCCTTTTGATATTTTTCCTTGTCTATGAACTTCATTTATTCCTTGGAGAAGGAGAGTCATTTTGTTGTCTTAATCGATGTTTAGAAAAAATTCTCATAGGTGGGATTTAAACAGAATGGTTTTGTTATATGGAAATTCAAGAATTAAAAAAAAAAAAAAAAAAAAAAAAAAATAGTAATTAGACAAGATAAAGCCAAGTAATTTGACAGAACTTAATTTGACGCAAGATAATTTCTTTTACGTCATTTTGGTAGACATTAGGTTACTGGAAATGTGCTGGAAAATTTTGTGTCCTAATTAATTTGCATCGTGTGCGCATCGTTGGAACATACTTTATGTCGTTATACAGTTTGATTTTCAGACTTTGAGATGCTTTCGATTCTGTAAAGGATAAATGAAATAAAGTTCCTGTAAAGGATAAATGAAATTACTTTTATTTTAAATTAGCCAAATTCTTAAGCACTACTTTAATCTGAAGTAAATCAATCGTCAAAAAGCCATATACTTTGTCAGCAGAATTTTAAATAATGAGTAAGATGAAAGAAAATATGATGTTTGACAACGCTGAGATGATCTGAGAGCATAAAGACGCTGGGAAGATGTCAGATCCTTCCGTTCTGTGACGTGTAAAAAGTGAAAACTGTTTTATCCTGATTTATGATTTGATATGTAATGCAATTCCAGATAGACACCAAAATAAGAAAATGAGTCAACTTGATAGATGTTTAGTTTATTCATTCAGAACTCAGTACGTAAACTTTCGATGCATTCATTGCATTTAATTCGGATGTTTTAAAACAACAATCAAACAAAAAACTGGATATTTAAAAATAAGTGACATAAAATATGCATTATCCACAACCTCTTTTGTTTTTATAATATTTGATTAATGAAACAACATATTTCAGTTTTAATAAAGTTTAAGTTAACTGTTTTTTATTTATTTTTTTCCCTTGTTAGGTTTTAAATTCCTTGATTACAGGATTGGGCTCACTTGCAATAAACACCTAAGTAAAGTTTTACTGGCTTTGTAAGATCACAGTCTTTGCACCGTGTGTTATCTAATATACAAAATACATGATAGGTGCAAAATATAAAAATGTTTTACACCATTGATAATTGCTTCAGAAGATGAAACAAAATCCCTTTTCTATATTATAACAACATACATTTAGGGAAATTTTACGCTTGAAAACTTTCACGGTAGGAGGATCAGCTTTGATGTAAATTTACAGCATAGCAAGTACTGAATTTATCTGAACTGACTGTTATATATATATATGCAATCAGTAATTAATTATCACAATGGCTTTTCTGATTTTCAAAACTAACAGCTTTCAGAAATGCCTAATTAATGATCCCCTTTTGTCTTTAAAGAACAAAATTTTAAGATTTATTTATTTATTTTTTTTTTCCCATGGAATGGTAGTTTTGCAGTTTCTTAAATAAAATCATAAAAACGGGAACAACAAATTCAACTTCACAGGAAAGTCAACAACAATAACATAATTCTTTGACAACGTAATAAAACGCACTTAAATTACACATACATTGCTGAAAACAAATGAAAAACTGAGCAGTATTAATTGAGTCACAAGAAAATACCTCAAAATCACAAACATAAATATATTTAGTCGTGGTGAACATTCAGATTTTAACAACAGATGGTTTGCTTTGTCAGCTTCTTTTTACAACATAAAAGGTTCATGGACTTCACATGTAAGTATTTTCGCTAATGAAAACAACAGCATAAAGCCAGAATACGAACAGTTAATATCAATTAATAAAACACTGAAATGATTCTATACATAGAACTTGCTAATATTTATTTTAATATTAAAACATCATACTCTTGATTTCATAATTCGTTTAATGGCAGGAGACTGACGTGCAACACTAGAGTGCATAACACTTCAATAAATGAATCGAAATCATTTAAAACTTAAAACATGACTGAGGTTTTAAAACCTAATGCAATAGATTCTATTTTATAAATCTTTCTTTAAAATGTATGAAGTATATTCGTATTTGGGAAAGACAAGCATGTACAATTGGCTAAGTTTGGTTTTCAGTTTGGACGTGGCATTATGTGTTTTTTGATGCATTTAAAAACAAATGCAAAAGGAAACACAGTTTCACTGGTTTAACGAATATGAGTGCGTTTGACAGTTCCCTCGGTAGCTTAAGTATTAAAAAAAAAAAAAAAAAAAAAAGTACTTGAAATTAAAATTTTTTAGTTGTCTGAGGAAAAGGAAATTGTTGCATTAGCAATAAAAGACAAAAATAACAGTATTATTATTATGTGTATATTATTATTATATTTCATTCAAATTTTAACTTTAATTTGCTTTGAGTGTTCAACAGAATAATGGCCTTAAATAGAATGCAACAAAGTTAGACTCTGTAACTATGCTTTCCTATCTTGCATGTTGTTACATATTATGACCGGAGAAGTATATTTAGATTAGAACCAAAATAGAAGAAAAAAAAAAAATGCAGTATTTATATTATTGATATTCTTCTGCATGTTTTCCTTAATATTTTAACATACGATTTAGGTCAGAATTTACTGATATTTTAAGATTTTGTTTCAAATCTTAAAGTAATAAATGATCACATTAAATATAAAAAAATCCCCTTTATAATAAATTTGATCAGTAATAGAACCTGACCAGTGTTAATCTATTCATTTTTGAATTTATTAATAAAATTTTCATAAAACGTTTGGAACATATGTGTATTCGAGTAAGATATTCATGTAGTGTATTCAATAAGCCGATTTTAAACAATTTTTTTGCTTTATTTGTCTTAAAATCTTAACACCATTAAAGACCACTCACGGAAAAAAAAATTCTTTAAATTTCCTTTTTGTCTTCTTCCTTCCGTTACACATTTTTTTTTTTTTTTTTTTTTTTTTTTTTTTTTTTTAGTGAAACTGAAAAAAAACAAAAAAGTTTAAGTATACTTTTAATTTGTTTATGAAAGGAACTTGGCAGAAATCTAGCTGGAAATGTAAATTTTAAATCTTTTCTAAAATATCTTTTACATAATGCTCATATTTCATTTTCTATGATTTTCAAGATAATTTATAATATAAGGAAAAGAATTAAGATAAAATATTGCATGAGCTGAATGATTATTTAGTATTCTATAAGTCAATCTTTTCATCTGTTTAATCCATTTTCTTACTGTAAAGTTTGACCAGAATGATTGAATGGAAGTCTATTGTTGAAATTTAAAGCAGAGAAGTCCTTACATGTGGAAAAGTAATTTTACAATGGATAGGGCAGTTTTTTCGTGTTTGTTGTCAGCGCAAGTGGAAGGGAAGCGATAACATCTGATGCGGACACGATCAGATAACTAAGGATTTGATTGATGAAATTTGCGAAATGCTCTGAGCAGAGAAAGACCAACCAAAGTTTCACTACACGCTTTGAATCTTTAAGCAGTGAAGGTGTCCAGCGTTCGCTTTTGCTTGAAATTAAAAACAGAATCATGTGCTCATAGCATTTAATGCAAGAAAAAACAGATAAAGAGGCTATATAATCAGAATCGCTACTAATTTTTTGAAACATTAATTTTGTAATAGCAATAACTGAGCTTTTATAGAGAAAATATCTTGCGTGATAAGTATAAATAAAGGCACTATCACAGTCTTCTTTGGAGTGCTAATGATTGCTAATGATGCATCAGATCAGGAGATCTGATTTGGTTGCGTAAATAATTGCTTAACATCTTTCCTTTAGGTTTACTTAACACTTTCCTCTTTCCTTCGCTTCTTCGGGAAACTGGCAGAATATATTTGCCACTTGAATTTAAAGTTGAGAGAGAGAACTATTGCTTTTAAAACGTATGAAAACATTTACCGCACATGAATGTATAGGGGAAAAATTAAGATTTAATTAAAGCACTAACCTTTTAGTATTTCAACTACTCGAAATATGACATTTTTTTAAAATTTAAAATACTTTATTGTAATCATAGTATATTGATATGATGAAACAGGTACTTAATTGCGACACATAAAATGCTGAATCTGTAATAAATTAAATGATTTTTTTTCTTTTAATTATTACTAGATATTGGAATCTTTAAAAGATCTAACATACTACTAAATTCTGAAATTGAATGTCATTCAAGAAATTTATCTGAATGAAAAAATAATTATTTATAGATGGCTAATGTTTCCTTCCCGTTGTTAATTAAAAAGTACCGCATGAATATCAGTTTTTTTTTTTAAATATAAAAAATTTCAACTCAATTACTCATTCTATCTGAAATTAGATATATACTAGATAGCCTCATATGCTACTTCTATCTGAAATATTTTGAAAATTAAGGAATTTTTTTGGAAATTATTTTTTTAATTAAATAATGCTACGAAAAATGATAATTCACTTATATAACAATTCATTAAATAGGTTACTTTTGTATTTATATTCAAGATTATAACAATATATTGTTTTTAGAGGTTTGAAATTTAAGGCCAAATCTTGAGTTTTGAGGCATACAAAAATTTTAAATACCCACTGCCGGGTCCAACACATTAAGGGTTTCTTTTTTTAGAAACTTTAAGCATTGGTAAGTTAGACATTTTACTTAATAAAATTTTAGATGTACCGTATTCTTATGTTACTATTTATCTAAGTTTTTATTTTCTGATTTTGCCTAAATTAAAAATGGCCTTACAGGTTATCGAGATTTTGTGTAAATATTGTGAACGATAATAATTAAATAAGTTTTATCTACTATTTAAGTGTAAAAAAAGGGGGAGCTGAAAGTTTGAAAGAGTGCGAAAAATTAAATTTTCCACCAGCAAGTTGTCTTAATCTGAAACTGAGCGAATAAATCTCGCTGACGTCATTTGTGCAATTCACAAAGCGAGACATTAGCGGCTCTGAGACAAGGACGCCGCGACGCCGTGTCTTCAAGAGGGAACGGATGGTTGCAACTGGGATGTTGGCAACCTTCCAGGGAACTTCCATCATCCAGTTAAGGTTCATGTCAGACACTGGCGCAGTTTAAACTCCCATCATTTTCTCGCCCCTTCTCACTACCCTCTATGCCTTCACCAGCTTTCCATAAAGGAATCGTTGAAGGTTTTCAAGCCGATCGAATCGCGCCGTGGGGAGACCATTTTTCTTATAGGGAGCAACATTGTCACTGGCTTGTCGCGTCCTTATGAAGCGCTTTCACAGATTTTTCAATTCAATTTTCCTTTTCCGTACCGAAACAAAAAAAGGCGAAGCTATCGTCTCCAGCATTGCTTTCGATTGGGAACAATAAGAAAATGTCACCATGCAATTAGACGGCACTTAACTACCTTATGGGCTGACTTTTCACAAGTATTACTCAATATGTCATTCCGAATGTATTTTGCAGTATGTGCAGCTGTAGCCGATCACCTTGTACAAACTGTAGAATTCAATTACCTTAGAAAACTAGATTCGTTTCAATGATTCTGACAAATGTTATAGAATAGAGAGAATTTTTATTTCTTCAATTGGAGTGTTAAGCTTCAGATTTTTCACCTCAGCTTCTACCATTATAATAAATCAATTACCAATAATGTTTGCTATCACTGTAAAATGATATAATATAATGCAATTCGGAATGATTTTTTTTTTTTTTTTTTTTTTTTTTTTTTTTGCAGTTGAATATTTAAGCCCAGAATAGTATAAAAATTGTGTTCACATTGATTGCACTATTTTATTAAATGACTTATTGCTGTTTTATTCGTTTATGTCTTATTCAAGTTTCGTTTTTTCTTAATTTGACAGCATCTTTCATTTGATAAAATTTTAATTAAAATGCACGTAGTTTTATGTCAGCAGATTGCGCGTTTTCTAAAATTACCTTCTAGGAAGCATAAATTTTTTTTTTTTTCTAATGATATAAGACTATGCGAAAAAGAAAGTAAAAGGCTACTTTATGAAATGTTAAACGCACTCGAGTATTTTACCATCACTACATTTAAAATGCAAATATTTTACATAACAAAAAATGAAAAGTGAAATGTAAACATAAAAATTTTCAGGGAAAAAAAATGCACATTAAAAATAATTCTCTGCTCAGCAGGTACAACAATCACTACAGAGTATACACAGTTAGAAAGCCCCCTGAGATTGTTTTTTAAGCTGAGTACACTTTCATTCTAAATCAGAAGTTATTATAGTAGCACAAATACTAAGAAAATGAAGTCGATAATGAAGTTGAATAAAGTCGATAATGAAGTTATTGTAAAACATATGATTCAAAATTACTAAACTCGTTTTTTCCAAACTGAGGATAAAGGAACCTTTTATAATATTTAAAGAAAATATGTGACTTTGTACCTTGTTCATCGAGTGGCAACTTGGAAGTGCCATGTTTTAAACATGCTACACCCTTAAAAATAACCAAAGAACATTTAATAACACCCTTCTGAAATGACACATACCTTAAACAACACATTTTTTTGCAATTTGTTTTGCAATATTTCACTGAAATATATGAAGATAGTTTTTTATCACTCTGAGACGCAGGAGTCTGACACTGCTGTTTAAAAACAACGAAAAAAATCACTTCTCAAATCTACTTTCAGAACTAACAATTGAAAGCAACACCTCCTTTTATACACTTTTTAAGTAGAATCCATTTTACAATATGATAAATACATAAATAAAACAAGTGCTTTTTCCTTAGTCTGCTTTTCCTAATCCTCGTGCAGATGAACGCACAGTCTTCTTTTCAGTACCAGTGGACGTAAAAAGGGATATACTGTACACATCTAGATGAAATAGGCAGTTGACATTTTCAGTTTCAGTTCATTGAAATAATCCGAAACGAGCAAACTACGTGTATGCACTCAGAACATTTCTCATTTCGTCTTGTGATAAAATGCATCTCAGAAGTTTACTGTTAAAATATTTCAGTGGGTCATTTGAGCATTCACTTTATAGGCAATTGAACTCAGCATAAATTTTATAGAATTTATATTGATAGATATTATTGCAGAAGACCAATTCTGTTCCTAAAATCAATTTTACAATTCACTTTGTCAAATTTTTTAATGTTTTAATCACAATGAGAATTTTTATTTTTATTTTTTGAAAGTAAATATAGAAATTTAAAGTAAACAGAATAATTATGGTTTAGTATTGCTTAATGACTTTCTTATAACTTAGACGCAGACTAGGCACTATGACTATGCAGTTTTAAACTAAAATACAATAAATTTGGAGTTCAATACATTCTTTATTAACTTTTCAAAAAATTTTGAATATGCATTAGCTTATATATATCTTATCTCTGTACATAAATGCTTTCGAGAATAATAATTCATATAATAATACAACTGACAGGCAGCATGATTGGAATTTCTTTGTCTATTTCCTGTTACGTCAGAAAGGTACGGAAGCTGAAGAAGAACGACTCGTCATTCACAGCAGTTTCCGTCCCCAATCATGTAATTAAGTTCAAGGTTAATTTAATGTAGCAGCTGGAAAAGTGCATCACGAATCCTCTTTCTCAGAGTACCGACAATCTAAGAGCATCGCCTGGTCGAAAGTTAAAATAATAACAGTTTATTATAGTATTCATGACAATTTTCTGTTTAAAATTCTAACATTATTAATTATAGAATTAATTTTTCAAGCATTTTTGCTTATTTCTCCTGCCGATATTTGGGCAGTATTAATAATAATAACTTGCTTTCATTTCCATGGATTTTAATTTTTTAACATATTTACAACTTTTGTTATCAGCTAAAGCATTTCGTTCATTTCTTATGTTATTTAAATTGTTTAGTTTACTCAGCGTCTAGTACGATAGTATGAATAACAAATGGTTCAAAATACATATATTTAAAAAAAAAATGTTTACAAACAGTTCTTTTTTTCTACGAAAAGATGTTTCGTTACATTCAACCAAATATTCCTTTATTTCAAAAAAAGAAATAGACGAATGTGTATTTACTTTTATTTGCTAAGATCCTAGACTACTAAAGAAGACCACTTCAGAAAATTGTGAAATCTTTAGTTCAAAGTGCTGTTTTTGCCTGATGCTGATAACTTTAAGAATTCATTAAATTTACTAAGTAATTTTCATAGTAATTCATATACAAGTATTGACGGAAACAAGAACATGAATTCACAGTAAACCTTCACAAGCTTTAACTCTGCTTTCGATTATTACTTCTAGAAAATATCAGCTCAGAGCCGATGTTATTGCACTAATATTTGGAATTGCGGTTAAACTGCAGTTAGAGATTAAAGCTTGATTCAGTTTGAGTCAAATAAAAGCATAATTTCATTCAGAAATCTGAATGAACGGCAGCCGCTGAAAGTAATGAAACCTCCGAGATGCATTTTCACACCACGCTTTCTCCTCCAAACAGGTTGATTTCTTTCAGTTTGGATACTAAATCTCTCGATCTACTTTAAGGCATGATGACTTCACAATCCCATGTGAATTCTAATGTTAAATAATTCACATGCACCAACGGTGTCCTGTAGTCAAATTTCACTGGGTTCAGTCCAGTAGAAACTACCTGAAGAGGCATAATATCTTTTACATACATTTTTACATTGTTCTGGAATGTGAGAAATAGTTACGAACACACAAAAAAAAGAGGACTTTACATTTTAACATCACAGTTCTGTAAGTCCATAATCCGTCTTTGTATCCACCACTAAGGAGTTTGGTTGGGAATGAGGAGATGGACCAACCATATGATGTGGTGGTTGAGGAGGTTGAACCACAGGTTGTAGTGTTGGTGGCTGAGACTGAGGGTTGGATATTCTGTTCGCATTTTGCTGGTCCGGATTATTGTTGTTGTTATTGTTGTTGTTGGCATTATTATTATTGTTATTATTATTACTATTGTTGTTGTTATTATTTGTGTTGTTGGCGTTGTTTGGGTTTTTCTTCTTGACGTTCTTCGTGTTAGGAAGTTTATTATCCTTCTTCCACTTCATCCGTCGGTTCTGGAACCATATTTTGATCTGTCTTTCGGAAAGACAAAGTGCATGTGCGATCTCTATTCTTCGCCGACGAGTTAGGTATCTATTGAAGTGGAACTCTTTCTCGAGTTCGAGAATCTGATGTCGAGTATAAGCCGTTCTTTGTCGTTTAGGTTCGACTCCTGGAAAATTCCCATTGGCAGCAACTGAAAAGATATATGCATAATGAGACATTTGCTTTGTTAAGTACATTTTGTACAATTATATCAAAATACGCCTGATAATTGTATACCTCATCTATAAATATCCCAATTAATCATTTTAATATTTAAAACTGTTTGCTTCATTTTCGGTGCGAAAAAGACTCAATTCAATGTTATCTTAAATATAAATTAAAATAAATTTAAGCCAATTGCTTTGACATTGAATTCTGATTTATGTGTAAAAAGTCACAGAGATTCTGGAGGTTAATATGAAAAGTTAAATCAGCTTTATTAAATAATCCTTCATCACGAAATGAATTTTAAATTTTTTAGGTTAAATAAATAAGTTTCAGCCGCATGAGAAGAGTTTTCTTTATTTCTGATTACTTCGCAAGAACTATTCATATTTAACTTGTAAATTACAATGAGTAAATTTTCAAAGCATGTATAACAATCTGCATTGATTTTACTTTAAGTTTATGAATATTCTAATTTGAATGTGTTTATAATTTTGCTTCAACAATCTTACCCATTTTTTCCATAACCATACTAATTATTTTATTTAAATTTCAGTATAATTGTACCAAATTTTTTATTTATACATATAAATATGCACTTTTTGTTAAGCAGTTTATTTTAGAGAACTGTTTAAAACACGGTTACCTTGTAAAAGGCTTATCTATAAAGCTTATGGCTACTACCCCTGAATTCAAAGAGACATATGAGCATATTTGAAGTCACTCATATTTAAAGCACTACAAGAAGTTACTCATTGATATTTACGGCATTATTTTATGAGCGACTCTCTTTAACTCCTTTCAATTTGCCATTTATGTTTTGAAACATCATATAATCATATGCTTTGATTGTTACGAAGTTTAATTCTTATTTTTGAATTTATTAAACAGTAACAAAAAATTTCAATTCGTAAATAAGTGAAAAAAAATTTTCACTCAAAAAGAATCATTCCACTGGCTATAAAGTCGTCACTCGTCAATTGTGCAGGGGAACAAATGGCATGTGCCAATGACATTGTTTTCTATTTATTGAAAATAAAAAGAGAAGGAAATATGTCTGTTGTAGACATTATATTAATAAGATAAACGTAGATTGTTAGTAGCAGCTATAAAGTGGAACAAAAAAAGGGGGGTAGAAAGAAAACTTTCAGCAAAAAAAAATGTTTTTTCTTTAATTTTAAAACAATTTACAAGTGTAAAAAACAACGAGGAAGAGAAATTATATCTAAATTGTCAACTCCTCCCGTTGCAGATATAAAATGTAGTTTTCGCGACCATTAGGGAAAAAAAAAATACTTAAGACTGCAAAAAGCAAGAAATAACAATAAAAAATCACGGATGAGATAAGAAACCAAGATTTTGAGGGAGGAGTAACGCCGGTAGTAAAGAAAGCAAGCGCGCTACACTAAGCCCTTCCCGCGGTAGTGACTTGATTTATTGTTATTGCCTGAGTAATATGAGTCGTCGGAACGATTTGGAGAACGCTTTAAGTCTGTCGACCAGCGAGATATAATTTATGATTATGGCCTCTATTTATCGTAGATGCACGTGGCCCCCATTAAAGTCTAGTTAACCTCACTTAAGTCATTCTGAATCGTTCCCTTGTTCACTCCCTTAACTTATATTCTAATGCGGTCGTATAGAGAGTAAAAAGAATCACCCTAGCGACAACATTTTATGAATGGGACGCGACTTTACTACGAAGATGGGTGTAAAATGAACTTCATTCAAAAGTTTTAGTTGACGACATATCATCGGTGAGATATTAGGGAACGTTACTTTTCCTGGCTGATCATAAATTTTCCTTGTAGGCAGGACAGAATGGAAGTTCTAAACAAGAATAAAAGTGCGACTGTTGATTCGATTTTTAAAACGCATTTGTAAGCAACTGAAAGAGCAATAATATGTTTTTCGAAAGGAAAGTAACGTAGGAACTTAATAACCAGTATGCAAAGAATGCGTATGTGTATCAGTATACTGTTTAGGCGCAAAAACCTTTTTCAGTTGTCGTTATTTTGATCCTTTTCTACATTTTTGGAAGTACGTCATTGCCTAAAAGTATGACTAATAAGTAGACAGTTAATGTATATTGCAATAATTATGCATAAAAAGTTCGGAAAATAAGTTATCGAAAATTAGGCTTAATAGTTTTGATTGAAATTTGGAACAAAGAATATTATGCCGATTTTAACAGTTAGTAGAATTCAAACAGTTACATAAGGCAACATATACGTAATGCAAAAATAACGTACTAAGTTGGTTATGATAATACGAAATAAATATACCCATTATTTTTGTTTAAGTTAATTATAATAATGAGAACTAAATATATCGATTATTTTTGTTTCTATTTATTTATTTAATTATGTTTCCTGTCGCTTCTGCAATTAGAACACTCTAGTAACATTCAAATTATTTTATGAGTGTCTTCGGAAAATGCTTTTCACAAATACTTAGCCGTTAATCAAAAAGTATTTTACATGAATGACTGAGACTATGATTTTAGTACTTTCGTATTCTCTAAGTTGGCATTTTCTTTTTTGAAAGAGTGCTTTTACATTATGTCATTTGTTTGTCTTAACTCAACAAGCAGCCCAGTCACGAAGCTTCTAGAATTACTACAATAAATATAATTATAGATTCCTATAAAATCCTTAAAATTGCTTCTAAATTTAAGGTACTGTTGTTTGAACAAGAAAAAAGATAAACGAAAATTTCATAGTTGCCAGTTTATTATTATTATCAGCGGAAATATAGCGATCAAAAGAGTAAATTTACATCAATCAAGCTACAGTTTCGGTGTGCCAAAAATATTGTCAGAAATATACTTGGTTATGGACAGTCTGAAAAAATCACTATTAGCTTATATCTTTGATTTTATGCACAGGTTAATTAAATTTTTTTATCTTATTTTCTTAAGTTATTTTCACAATCAATAAATCAATACTGTTTTTCAGCTCAGTTCTTAAATCTTAATTTGAAACATAGCAGAAGAAATTTTTGCATACATTTTTCGCGAATTATCTTAACATTAATCAATGTGAAACATTATCAACAGAAATTATCTTTGAGAATCTACGTAATATAAAGAAAATAAAGCTTAAAAAATATGTTACATTGTTGTAAGTAATAAAAGACAGCATCTGACAAAGTATTAATTTTACCGCAGTTTATTGGCAATTAGTACCCTAGTCTCTGACTTTTGAAATCTTGTATTCCCACCCAGACACGAATTCTGGGGAGCGAGCTGGCTGTAGAGATGTTTTTGTGATTTTTGACATTTATAACGTGAATATGAGTCAGTTTGCTTTTTGAGAGTATTCTATGAAGGCATCTTCGCTGAAAGCAGGTGCCCTTGCGTATTTGACAAAAGAAACAAATTAATCAGTAGTACTATTGAAGAAAATCAAATTTTAACGTTCTGCCATTCGGGGCTCTGTAAACTGAAATCGCAGAAGCTGTTTCAAATCAAATGATTGCTTTTATGTAGTTCTTCAATTTCTCGCACGAGTTATAGCAGATATATTTAAGTAGAAAATATGGAATATTACACTTACATAGAATATACAAGGATCTAATTTTATGCTGAATTAATTACGATTTAACTAAATCTGTGCAGAATAAATTTGAGAGAAACCGAAGAAAATTTGTGAGAAAGGGTGGTTTTTAGTATCCTCGCAACAAACAAGTCACAACGTTTAACAAATTTCATCTCATTAACTTCGCTTTCAAATGAAAATAACGAAAGCATTTAAAAATCAGTTTTTTAACCTCAGGCATATTTTAGATATAAATAATATTTAACATAATGGGATAAAAAGAAAACATTACTGTAAGTGAGATATATTGAATATGTGAACAATTTAACATCATGTATCTACTCAAAATGTTAACAGCAGCAGAATTGTTGTTTGGTTAGAAAATGTTTGAATGAAACTATTTGAATTTTTATGCTACAGAAAAATTCTTACCTGTGTGCTCAGACATATCATATTTAGATAGATAGATACATAGACTATCATATTATATATATTTAGATATATATATATATATTTAGATAGATACATAGACTATCATATTTTAGATATAAATAATATTTAACATAATGGGATAAAAAGAAAACATTACTGTGAGATATATTGAATATGTGAACAATTTAACATCATGTATCTACTCAAAATGTTAACAGCAGCAGAATTGTTGTTTGGTTAGAAAATGTTTGAATGAAACTATTTGAATTTTTATGCTACAGAAAAATTCTTACCTGTGTGCTCAGACACGGTGGCAAGATCATTAAGTAACATATAAAAAAAGTATTCATGAATATTGCTTTTGTTTGAAAAAATGTGTTTGATTGTTAGTTATATGATGATCAAAGTTAACAGTTTGCCTCTTTAGTTGTCTATTCAGTTGCTAACAAAACTTTCGTAAAGCATCTAAAGTATTTTTTTAATTATGTGCTTTTTTTATCGAAAGGACTGCTTACTTTCGGATTTGCTTAGTTTTTTTATGCCTTTTAACCAATATATTAGTTTAAATTTAGGATGCATTATTTTTTACGCATTTTATTTACATACTTGCATGTACAACAAGTTAAAATTCATAAGATCATATCCTTGCCTAAATTCCTTTTTCGAAAATATATATATTCCATTATATAGCACATGAATTCACTTCTAGAAATCCGTTTACAACAATTTTACGCTATTGGTAATTAGTGATGCATTCTTTAAATTTTCTACAGAATATTTTAGAAAGTTTCTTTAATATATGGTCGATATTTTCCTGTTGCAAGTAATTTTTACCACCAATATAAGAAATACATGCCATTTTGAACTTTAATAACTAATAAAATTAAAACATCGTGTTTTGCTAATTCCTAATGTAAAGGTATAATACACTAAAGAAACTAATGACACAATTTTACTCCTGAAAAAGCGACTCTCAAGGGCACACTTTTCTAGAAATATTCTAAGGTATTTTATTTGAGATAAATGTTTGTCAATTAATTGTTGTCTTTATTATTATTCTG